AGCCCGCTCTCAATGATTTTTAAAGAAATACGTTATTTGTGATTCAAGGCGGGCGAAGCCCGCTTAGAGGGCTTTAGTCAGAGCCCGGTTCTGGTTCTGGTTCTAGGGATAGGACCCGACCGGGTCGGAACCGGACCGGGGCCATGTCATACCTCGTTGCGTAGGTCTTTTTCTCAGCTTTCAGCCAACGTGACCCCCGACCTGCCCACCCCATCCGCATTCGGTCAGCGGGCCCCAGAGCTCAGCCGGGTCCCTCCATCACCTCAGGCCCTCTCATAGGCGCGAGCCCACATTACAGAGAGCCCAAATATGGATTGGCCGACCTGTTCCCGGACGGGCAGCGGGTGGCCCCCCTCCAAAATTTCTTCAGAAATTTTCTAGTTATCATTAAAAGACTAAAAGTATAAGTGATTAAAAGTGTAACTAGACTATTTTTTGTTCAAAATTGTTCAATACCCTATAACTGTCATTTACAATTACCTAACAATATTTAAAATCTGATAAATATTTTGTATCTAAATCCACAGAGGACCCTTTAAAAAAAAAAAAAAAAAGTAAAACGTGTAAAAAAGGACATGGACAGACAACATAGACATAGTGGCAGCAACCTCCTGTTTTCTGTGATTTCACAGCATGAAACTCCACATACTAAATATGAACAATCTACAACTCGTACTGGTAAATCAAAGTTCTTACATACTGAGAAATATTTGAACAAATTTGGAAATCTAATGTTGGTGCTGAATGGAACAAAAGAAAACACTTTATTAGCAATAGTAACAATAATAATAGCCTTTAATGAACATTATTGATGAATGATCAGCCTCTAAATGGCTTCTGTTTGCCTAGCAGTCTGGTCATGCCTTTACTTTGGAAATTTACCTTATAACCCCAGGGCTATGGCCTCCAGGTCATTGTCTTTTTTTCATGAAGAGGGCTCAAATCTGAGCACGAGGGTGACCTTTTGACAACATTCAAGGAAAGATGCTTGTTGAAATTTCAATCAACAGGTGAAACAGGAGGAGCTACTTCAGACTAGAAATACAAATTCAGAAAACCTCTGTGTAAACCTTTATGTTTAACAATTTATATGTCTGCCAGATTTTATAATGTTCAATTGATCTTTTTTTTTTGTTAATATGATTTTCTTCCATATCCACAGCTTCTACACCTCTAAAAGTCAGAATTCTTGTAGTTCCTTCACCCCACGAATAAAAATGGCGGGTTGTAAGGTATATTTGCATTTTTGGCAGTACCATCAAATTACGTATAGCATAACATTTCTGTTGTCTTATCTTTTAAAGTTTTACATTTTTTCTAGCTTAATGCTGATAAATATAAGAGCAACAAAGACCACAGTGAGTATTGTTTTCCTTGTGTACTTCAATTTATTGATTTTATTTGAGCAGAAATCAGATAACTGTATTATGGTCTCTGCTAGCCCTCTGCGCGCCAAAGGATACAGACAACAATTTACTGATTCAGGTGGACTATGACGCCTATGATGCTCAGGTGTTTCGACTTCCGGGTCCTTCACGAATTCAGAGGAGCACCAACTTTAGGTATCAGACTGCTTCTACAACACTGTACTGAAGTAAACATTCTCTTATTAGCCATATAAACCCTCTGTCATTTTGAATGACAAACGGTTGCTTTTTATTAAGGATGGGTCGTGACAAGGAGACGAGTGGCAGGAAGAGTTGGGGCTCGGCAGACATCAACACAGGCATAGGCATGTCTCCTCCTGTTCGTTCAGGAGGTCCAGAGGAACAGCGAAGCCTAACCTCTGATGATAGTTTGGGTCCTGTATCCAGCATACTGCTGATACCCAGGGTGCCTCCTGCTCAGTATGAAGTTAGCAGCTCTTTGGGATATACAAGTACCAGAGGTAATTACATCAGAGCCGGAAGCCCTGGAGGATCAACACTACATGGGCTATGATGTTCAGTTTCTCCGTTCTATTCCTAATGTATTTTTTAATTTTCTTGATTAGACTTGTTAGAGAAGATGATGGACTCTCAAAGGGACTCCAGTGCCCCAGGCAGGTTCACTGTCGGAAGTGCTGAGTCCACGCTACACATTCGTCCTGGAGGTTACAATCCTCAAAGAGCCCTTATAAACCCCTTCACTCCATCCCGTATACCAATGAAGCTCACATCCAACCGCCGGCGCTGGATGCACACCTTCCCTGTCGGTGAGGTGACTCAGTGCTATGAAACAACACCAACTTAACAGAGGTCTGAGGGTTATAATAAACTATTTGAGAAATGTGTTACATTAGAAATCAACAATTTTCTATTTATAAAGAGAATTTAGTGAAATGGCAAATGTTTACTAAAATGTTGTTTTGTGTGAAATTTGCATCAAATGTATACGTATATATACTATAATACTGCACGTTGTATTAGGTTAATGATGTGCAGGTAGAATAATAAGTCTTTAATGATAGACATGATACTGTAAAGAAGTTAGAATTTGAAACTGTATGGAACTGTTTTTTCAGGTCCTTCTGGAGAGGCAATCCAGATTCATCATCAGACCAGGCAAAACATGGCAGAGCTGCAAGGCAGCCAGCAGAGATATCCTGCCCATACTTCAGCTGAGCTGCTGGAACTGGCTTATCATGAGGCAACTGGGAGGTATGCTTGAATCAATCACAAAGAATTTAAAAAATGTATTTCGATGATAACAAATTGTAGTGAGGTTATAAAGAACTAAACGTGTTTCTATTAATTTAAGGCGTACAACATCAAGGCAAACAGGGGAAAATAGCCTGTCCATATATGGAGTGATGGAAGAGTTCACTGGAAGTCCTGGAAATAACCAAAGTGGTAATATACCTACTCAAAATGCTGCAAATTTGTCCACTCCATATACTGTATAAAAGAGGCGCACTATACAAAGGTGACATACAGTACTTGTGAATGACACACCTCTTTGACAGTTTTCCGTTTAATTAAGTAATACATCAAATTTGTGGTCTGTAGACACTCTTGTTTTCTTATAGTCAAATGTAACAGATGCAGTTGAAAGACCTTAACAAGCACTGTGTTTTTGCTGTCATAAAATCAAACTCCACTAAATAACTTCAATTTTTCTTTTTCATCACCACACTGAATGTCTCACATTTTGTAGGGTAGTTATTCCAAATATTCAAATTTTATTTTAATCTAAGCACAGTCTCTCAAAACCCTTCAGCTTTACTTTATATTTAGTTTCCAGTCAACAACCCGGATTGTCAAACCCTGTACCTTTAGGGCCATTGTCCTGAAAGTTTTCCTGCTTCTAAACTCCTGATTCTGATGAAATGGATCTCCTCAAAACATAAGGCTGGGAGAGCACTGCTACACTGAATTAAATCAAGTGTATTTCAGCAGGGAAACATTTAAAACCTGCAGTATTGGGTTTTTTAAAACTGTGATCTAGATTTACAAGCAGTAGTTATTTAGGCCTCTCAAAGGTGTCTCTTATTCTAGTGAACATTAAGATTACAAGGAAGTTCTGACTTTTTTTCATTCAAAGTTAAAGTCAACTAAAGAGATAATTCAACTAAATGTGATCCTTTTTTGTAAAAAAAATGTTTTAAGGATGGAACTACAAACTTATGTTAATTTTTGCAGTTTAAAGGGATGGAGTTGTGATCGCGGAAGAGATATAAGAAATAACCTTGAAACATGGTTGTGGATTCATGTGAACTGTTAAGAAAATATTGGTCAAAATCCAATTAATAGAATATCCACATCTTGAAAACCTAATTTACAAACATCCTGACAATTCTTTGCTGAAACTATAAAATTGTTTGCAGGAACTCTCACCAACCGCAGCACCTCATTTCATGACTTTTCCATGAGTGACACAGATCCAAGTAAGACCAATTTGCGTTTATACATTGTTCTAATTTATTTGATATATACATCTGGAACAGGGTGATATATATTCAACTACCAAACTGATGATGGCAATAAACCCCTCAGAGGGTCTTTACCTGTGAAGGCTTATTTAGCTTTGGCAAGCAGGTTTCTCCACTGGGCTGAGGGGCTCTCTGTGGGATGAAGGTATAAATGGCTCATACAGGTCATATGGTTTGGGGTTACCCTCTCCTTCTCCTTCTGTACCCTTACTTTTTCTACAGTGCTTTTCCTAAGTCCTTTTCCTGTTACTATGTAAACCTTTTGAGTATGATTTGACTTAATTGCCATCCTAAAATTTTCCTACACTATGACCTGTATATATTCTATGAGCCTTGAATTTACTGCTTTTCTGCATGGGTTAATGTACAGTAAACATAACCTGATTTGTAAATCTGTGCATCTGAGGAAAAAAATCTTTTTCACTCAAACTTATTATTTGAAAATTTAATCAACATTCTGTATATTTGCATGATGCTCAAATCTATTCTGCACTATTGTTGTGCCTAGGAGGCATTTTCACTTTCTTGCTGGCGATGCTGATCACAGACTGTGTCAGTGCCACAATCTGCATGTATGAACACCTGCAGTGGAAGATACCACCAGGAAAAGTAACTCTTCTCTTGTTTCTTCTTCCCCCTTCTGTTTCTTTTTTCCAATTTGCATCTCCATCTTTGCTTATTCTTTTCTTTCCTACCTTCACACTTTGCTTACCTCTTTGTATTTCTTATCCACCTCACCTTCTGTGCCAACTGTGCCCCCCCCCCCAACGACATATGTGCCTCTCTCCTCTGGGTACATGCATTTGTCTTTGCTGTCGGGATTCTTTCTTTTTGTTTGTGTGTGTGTGAAGCCCTGCTGCTGTCTGCACCCCCGACAGTGCCCAGCTTCTGTTGCACGGTAGGGGTGGACTGGAAGTCCCTAACCACACCAGCCTGCCTTCCGCTCACAACAGACTATTTCCCTGACCGCCAGACACTGCAGAATGATTACACTGAAGGCTGCTATGACCTACTGCCACACAGTGATCTGGAAAGGTAGACATTATCCTGTTTTAGAAGAGAACTGTTTGCCAATCACCTTATAAATCCTACTTAATTGTGTGTGATCCTTGCTCTTATCGGCCCTTAATACAGTCTGACCCACATATTATTACTTATGGCAGTGGTTGTGTTATTATGACAAAAACTTTCTTTGTGAGTCTTTTATCATCTTAAGCTTGGCTGTTTCTTGTGGTTTCACGGGACATCAGTATATGTTAGGTTTGCACAATAAGCCAGTCATTATTGGAAACAACCCTCTCTTTAATTATTAAGCTACTGAATCAACTCAGAAACATTTTGCAATAGAGAATCCAGAACTGATAATATCCTGGCTTGAGTGACCTAAACAGAAAGTGCTTTGAAGTTATTGCTGTATTTTCTATCTCTTCCACAGACGAGAGGATGAAGCACCAGTGATGACTGCATCTCAGGTGTTTGAGGAGTTTATCTGTCAGAGGTTGATGCAGGGATATCAGATCATTGTCCAACCCAGTAACAGAAAAGCACAGCCTGCTGTGACTGTTCCTCTTGGTAGTAGTCCTCTTTATACCAGAGGTAAATGTATTTTAAATATTTACAGACAACTGCATTTTATCATGGAGAGAATAAGACATTTTCATTTTTAATAATTGAGTATGAATGGCAATCCTTAAATATACTGTTCTACTTTCCCATTGTTGCTTCAAATCAAATACAGCTACAGTCATGACGCTGCCATTATTGTAGATTAGTTTGTTTTAGTTTTTTTTTTTATTACATTCATCTCACTGACTATATGAGATGAGACTGTTGGACTTGTGAGGAAATCCCACTATCTCCCACTAAAAAAAACATTAATATGCGCTCTGTTCCTGGTGAAAGGTCTGGTGTCTCTGCGTCGAGCTGAGGAAGATGAGACTGTTTACTGGCTCAGCATGGGTCGGACATTCCATAAAGTGTGTCTCAAAGATAAGATCATCACTGTCACACGCTATCTACCAAAGTGAGTACCTCTTAGTGAGAACTTCCATTAAGGCTTTCTGAAGGTCATTTAAAATCCTTCTTTAGGCTTATTTTTCATATATCAATCCAGTACTTTTTACCTGACCATTTTCAGATGGATACACCTTGTTTTTTTAAACATTGACTTATGAATAGCTGAGGTCAAAGAAAAGGCCCTTTGCTTGCGTAGTAGACCTATATGATGTCAATGTGTGAATGCAATTACTCAAAGAAATTATTTTACATGAAAGTATTTCACGTTTGATTATTTTACTTAGGCTTTTACTATTTTTGGCCAATCAAGTAAAAGAAATTGGGACAAATTAACTTGTCTTTGCTACAGGCTGTTGGAAACAAAGATTCTGCAGTTTTACAGGCATACAATACAAATTTTACACAAAGAAGTTGCAAATAGTTAAGAACAAAGATTTTGTCAAATCTCACAGTGTGCAGCATTACACATAATGACAAAAGGAGGAGTAATAGACTTAAGAGGGCAATCTACAGCAGGCAGTCCCTTAAAGGGTCATTGTGTAGTATTTTAAGTATTTTATTAGTTAAAATAATTTTCTTCATTTATAAATGTGTCCTCATTTGGTGTAAAATTAGTACCTCTGCAATGATCTGACTTCTCCTCATAAGCAAAGAATTTCCTGCCTGTATATACATAGGACGAGTAAGTCGATGGAGGTTTCCATGTTGTTCCGCCATTTTGAAAAACTATAATCGCAGAGGGGGACATAAAGCACTAGTCTACCTGTCTAGATAATCCACAACGCGTTTTCGTCACGTGACTGAAACCAGCTATAATAAGTGAGAGGCGCTTGTTTGTCACCTTTATGCTAGTCATTGCTCTGGCAAATTTGAAAGCTTGCATTACACTTTAGTCCATAATGGAGGATCATACTTATGCCAAAATCTGAAAACACAAGGCACTAGCGAGCACGATTTGTTGGAATGCAAAATACAATTTTACCGTGAGATGGGAGAAATTCCTTCACTGTGTACCTTTTAATAAATTGAACATGCAAACACTGGCATAAACCTCCTGATGCATGTGACCATTCTGTTTATTAATATACTAATCACTGAAGCTTCGTCAGAAATATTCCCCAGGGAATGGGTGTTTTCAAGAAGTCATTGTTTAGGATGTAAAAGCTGGAAGAGAGAAATTTGTGACAGCATGTGATGGCACTTCTAACTGAATAAAGAATCCCATCCAGACCTGAAAATTAATCAATAGTCAGATGTATTTGTAAAGATGTTTTAAAAGAAATAAAGTTGCTATTATTGGCCAGTAAAAATAACTCCTTTTGGACAACGTGAACTTTGCTTCGCCCTATTCACTCTCTACCACTCACACACACTTGAAGAAGAAGTGTTATATCATGTGTGTTACAGGCATCATAGTGCCCCCCAGTATACTGGCATGTAATATAAACATGAAACAAACGAGTAACAGCTAAATAAAAATACTCATCTAAATAGAAAGCCAAGAAATTTTAAAAAAGTTAGATAAGAAGATATTTAAATGAAACGTCCAGGGTGTACCCTGCCTCTCGCACATGACTACTTTGATAGGCTCCAGCCCCCCCCGCGACCTCATTGGGGAATAAGCAGTTACAATGATGGATGGATGGATTTGAATGACGCTTGGTATGCAGTTTCTGATCCCGCCTAACAAGCAGGGGCGATTATTTAAATAATTTACAAACTGTCGTATCAGTGACAGGGTTTCACTGTAGAAGCCTATACCAAAGTGCAGCTAGAGGCAAAGTCCATCCACCTATACCACTTATTCCTAGTATAGCTGCAGGGGGTGCTATTATTATGCAAGAGGCAGTGTGTTCTCTGGACAGGTCACCAGTCTATTACACGGCCTAGAGGCAAATTCCGTGAGACTTTAATGGGTTCACCAGAATAAAAGTTTGGAATGTATTATAACAAAAGAAATCCAGGGACATTACAATCCTAAAATCAGTCCTAAAACAAAACCGAACCTACAGCGTTAGGTGTTTACACTGTTTGGTTAACATTAAGCACATCACAGTTATCCAGTTGGGATATTACTGTGCGCTTGTGCTAACATCATATTTGAAGCTGACTGATACAGAATTCCAGCTTCTTTAAAGTGTTAGATCATCTTTGATGAGTAGGGCAATGAGTAGGGCAACATTCAAAGTATGGTATATGCTTTAAGAAACTTCGGAAAAACATTCCTTAGGACTCCTTTAAGATTTTGAAAGAAATGTTGTCTATGACGAACTTTGGTTGGATTTCTGGAGTAAAATTTGTCATACTAAAAAATGAACAGGTTTTTTAGAACTGGGCAAACTCTTCCTTTTACTGTTGTGCAGAATTACAATTGCAACATATATTTTTTGTTTATTTTCAGAAATTAGATGTGCCTTAAGACTTACACTTTGCTTTACATAAGTGAATGAAAAAATCTTTTAAAATCAGGAATAAAAGAATAAACATTTTGAAAAAAAATTCTCAAACGAAATTATGAATACTACAAAAAGCATGGGATAGTAGATATATGGATACATATACCAATGGTATCTAAATATGTTCCTCAATTAAATTGCTGTTAAAGGTAATGGATGAACAGTATGAAAAATAAACTAAATTCTGAATGATTTATTGAGATAATTGGATTAACTTGACTAAATCAATATGGCAGCTAGGGTCTGTATCGGTAACGAGGCAACAAAAGCTACTCTGTTGAAAGATTCTAACGTGTTTGTTTGTTTGTCTCAGGCACCCATATGAGTCAGCTCAAATCCAGTACAGCTACAGCCTTTGTCCACCACACTCTGATGCACAGTTTGTTTCCTGCTGGGTAGAATTTGGACATGAGAGACTGGAGGAATATAAGTGGAATTACCTGGATCAGTATATCTGTTCTGCTGGCTCTGAGGACTTCAGGTGCAACATATTCATGAATACACATATTTAGTTGCATTGGTCCAATAGCATAGAGAAGAGGTGGGCTAAAATGAGTGCAACCATAAAGTGGTAGCATTATAAAAAGATCTTGAAAATGCATATTTTCTCCACCCCCCAGCTTGATTGACTCGCTGAAATTCTGGAGGACCCGCTTCCTTCTGTTACCAGCTGGAGGGGCTCGACGGGTGGCAGATGGGGAGGGACACTGGGATGTGTATGGTGAGGGAGTGGGAGCTGGAATGGGTGGCAGTGGAGATTGGGTTTTGCTGGATGGCTTTATTCGTTTCCTTGAGGGCCTCAACCGCATCCGACGACGGCACCGCTCTGACAGAATAATAAGGGTGAGATTTCTTCACTAGTCATAAGTAGAATCTAAAAAATCTATCAAATATCATCAGGCTTAAATGTATTTAGTTTCCTTTGTATATCTTACTTTTTTACATTTCTTATTAATCTTCAGATTTTCCCAGATTCAAAATCTTAATATTTTGCCCACACTCTGACCTTTCTACAATTGTAGAACCCTCTTATTACTTTCGTTTTTACCATTATTAATGGTGAAATAATGAAAACTCTTGACATTTATACTCTCATTGCAGTTCCAAGTTAGGGTTCTGTAAACTAATTCTTCCATATTTCTCTACATACGTAAGCACAATTGCCTTTAAGGGTCACAATAGACAGGAAAATCACCATCTGTTGGTTTATTCAAAGATGGTAAAACGTACACCTAATTTCTTTGATTTTTGTTTTTTTACTCAGCAAAAGGGCACACCAATGAAAGGACTACAGGTTACCAGTCCTGTACCTCTGTATGGTTGTGGTTGTGCCACTGAACCTGTGGCACAACCACAAGGAAAGAGAGGTACGTCTGCTTTATCAGCCCTGCTGGAGATGGAGCAGAACCAGAAGTGAGTTCTATCTGGGACTATTACCTAAAGTGTTAATACAGGAGCCAAAGATTGAACTTTTTACTGCATTTCTGTGTTTCTCATTAGAACATTGGAGGAGCAGCAGCAGGTAAAGCTCACAGCCGCCGTGAGTGACTTATCAATTGTTGCTACAGCTTCTACGTATGTAGAAAGTCCCCGCAAGGTGAATACTTTTTGTATTTGTTCATTTTTTTCACATGAATATTGGAATAAGTTTATTGCTTTTTGCCTTAAACTTCTGAAGAATTTGCTTTCGACATCAAACTTGGATCAAATAGTTGTTCTTTGTTTTTTTATGGTGGGGGGCTTTTGCTTAAGTCTCTTTCATTTTCTATGTAAATTTTTCTGTTCTTATTTCTGGTCTTTGGTTATTTGATCTTGGGTTATGTTCCACTTCTATGCTGACAGGATGCTGCCTTTATTTTGGATTTTATACGTAGCCCTCGATCCTCCTACATCTATCACTTTCAGGTCAGTAACAGGATTGTAAGAAAGGACAGTGTTGTAAAGTGTTCTATCTCCTTTTAACTCTGTATTTCTGCAAGTACAGCTGAAACGCTTTGTAGGAGTGAATCTTGGCTTGGTGTTCTCTCTTTAATTTAGTCTTTCCCTTAGGAGCATGTGTTGTAATATCTGCTGGTAACACTCATATATGGATATTATTGATCTTTTTGAACCTTTGTTTGTGTTGGTTCAGGCAGCTGGTAGTGGTTGTTGCAGAAATCTGTCATTAAAACAGTACATTTTCAATGTAAATGAACTGATCAATTATATATAGGTGATGGTCAGAACAAGTTGGGAGAAGAGCCCACACATACCACATGGTTTGATACACATACCCGCATCCTGGCTCTAATGCAGCAACAATGATGAGAGACTGATGAGGTGTTTGAATACAAAAATAGGTTTTTATTTTACCAAACTAAATAAACATGGAAGTTAATAATCAGTAGCATATGCGCGAATATACCCGTCATCGAAATAAACCATAGCCCCCCATAACTTGCTCCAACCAGGTCAACCAAAGAGAGGGGGCGTGGACTGCAACCAACAATAGAGGAGAATTTAAATACACGCCCCAGATGTAGCTTAGTCAGCCTGATGAGCCCCCCTGCCTTATTTTTGTGCAACTAACATGTAACATTTCGCATCTTTTGATGTTATTGTCAGGACTGACACTATCAGCCACAAGATGAAATTCAAATTAAATGGAAAAGCACTTTGATTAAGAATATGATGTTTCCAATACAACATAGATGCAGCTATTTAGAGCAGATTAGAAGGCAGCATGATGGTGCATTCCATTTGAACTTTGAAAATCAGAAATTTCTATTCCCATGCAGGAATATTCAACTGGAATGTCAAAAAACAGAACCTCATAATAATTAAATTATTTAAACTTTAGGTCAGCATGGTGGCATAAAGATAGTTTCTATAAAATATAGTTTTAATAAACAGTTTTTGTATTTATAACTCCATTCCACACGCATAACACTGTCTAGTCTCTGTAAGTTAGCATGTTGCTACTGTGTTTGTATGTTACAGGGTATACCGGAAACAGCTGGTATTGCGATAGCTGGGTCCACAACTTCTAGTAAATCCTACTTGCAACTTAAGCCCAACCAACTCGGGTGTGATGTCATTCCCAGCTTCAACTTCCAAGTTCCAGCTTCTAAGGCAGGGGTTATCAAATTCATTGAATGTGAGCCTCCCCTTGGAATAAGTAAAGATAACCAAGGCCTATTCATAAAATATCCATCCAAATATTTCCGTCTTAGAGGCTACTTTTACTGAAATATCACGAACAGAGGGCCTACTTTTAAAATTGAACAGTCATTAGAGCAAATTCATAAACGATTGTTTTCAACAGCAGACTACTGAAATAAACAGACTGCAATGTCAAACTGAACTCACGTCAACAGGAGACGTCAACTGAAATAATAAAAATAAAAAAAGATAACCTGAATTTAACAGACGTCAACATATTCCGAT